TAGGTGGACTAACATATATAGCTCTGCGAATCGTTCTTGGAGCGTTTTAATAGGTAGAAGACCTTTTTAGAGCAGACTTCTCAGTTTACGTGAGAAATACTGCAAATTCGCAACTATATCAAACCATCTGTTCTAATAGTCGTAGCCATTCTGGCAGACACGCATTTCGTGGCTAAGAGATCTCAAGCGGTAGCTAGAAACGCACTGTCTTGTAAGTTCATCCGTAACGGCGGTTACACAGAAGCTACAGGCCTTTTCATTTCCAAACCACCCATAAAAATTTTGCGAAAAATTTATCCGTTTTTGCTGCAGCAGTTGCAATTGTTAGGATATGAAGGTTGTTACAAACAACATTCCAAAATGGATTCCAAGTATTCAAGATCTTCATTCTGAAGAAATCCTACCGCAGTTAGAAAGCTCTACAACGAGCACTTGAACTATGTCAGTCTGACTTAAGATAGCCTGTCTTTTTTTCGACTTGTTACTTTTTCAGCTAATCTATATTTCTTATTAAAGCCTACTACAAATTCGGAAATTTTTTCACCGACTAACGATTTTCATTCTGAAACCAGTCTATGTTTTTAGAAAGTTCTAAAAAGGGGTTACTTTTATGCGCTGGTTTTATGAAAGGTTTGAAGGTTTTTTAAAAGTTTTTTCGCGTTGGTTTCTATTCTTGGAGGAGCTTGTGAAAAGGAGATTGTGATAGTACAGCGCGTAGTGCATGCAAATAGTACGAGAAATCTCTTACACTTTACTACAGAGAGGAACCAGGGAAAGAAAAAACATCTAACTTGAAGAACCAAACCTTAAGCAGCGATCAAACTAAAATAGTTGAGCAGTTCGTTTTTGGAGCGTGTTTTATTGAGAGTAGGTTAATTCCAAAATGGATGTCTTAAATAAACAAAAATTCTTTTTGAGGTTTTAAAGGACGCAAAGAATTTCTGAAAAAAGGCAGATAACTCGAAAACAGACGAGTGGTTTATGGTCAAACCAACACAGACAAGTAGCCGTTTTTGGAATTTCTAACAAGCATAAACTGGTTTCAGAATGAATGTCATGAGCAGACAAAAACTTTCGGAAATTACAGCAGGCTTTTAAAAGAAACGCAGAGTAGCTGGAAAAAGAAACAAATAAGTTAAAAAAGATAAGCCACTTCTAGTCAGACTAAAGTGCTGTTGGAGTGCTCGTTATAAGAGCTCTCTAACGAGCATAGAGTTCTTTCAGAATAAAAATCCTGAATACTAGAAAATTGTCCAGGGCACATGTTCGTAATAAGCTTCGTATTCAAATAGCTGGAGTTGTTGTTCTGGCAAAAAAGTATATTTTTTTAGAGGTATTATCATGGTTAGTTTGGAAATGAAATGTCCTGTGTGTTAAACAGTCTGGAACAGCGCTTATTTGTTAGTTTAGGAGATATACGTGCATATAATTAGGAAATACAGGAGAGGCTTTATAACTGAGGAAACGCCCACTGTCGGCGGGCCAACGTTTAAAACTTCCAGTACGTTGAAAAAAACAGTCCTCTGCTTTCCTCTGTTCTGTTTTAGCTGGATGTTTTTCACTAAAGGTCCGAAGAATCGGAGAACGGTAGAAGTTTTAGTTGGTTTTGATTTTGGTTTTACGCTTGGAATTCGCACTCGTTCGTCAATGAAAGTCGGGTGTGGTAGCTCGTTGACAGAGAGCTGTAGCCGCGACGGAAAATTGCAAGCTAACTTGGTCGGTTTCACTGAAATTTTAAAAATTGCCCGCTTTGACTTACTTTAGATGTAAATTCCGGTCTTATAAAGACCGCACTTCGGAAATTCCGCTTAAAACAAAAAAGAGTTTCTTTTAGGTAAAAAATAGCTTATTTTGTGTATAGTGAAAAGGTTGTAGAACTTGAAAGAAGATCGTTAGGCAAAGAAGAATACATAATTTTTTAGCTTTAACAGCATGGAATCTGGGAGAGAGTTTGTTTATACAGTTTATTTTCTTCGTTATTTAAATCCAAATCAAGCCCTTAATTACCAGCGAAATTTGGAAAAAACTCTAAAAATTAGCCAAGAATGATATTTACATAGCTGGGGAAGTTCGCTAGTCGGAAAAGTGACATTACAAAACACAGGTGATTTATTTCAAAGCTTTCGTGATGCGTTAAACCTAGATGAAGAGCAGTTTTTGGCTTTTGCTGTGTCCTGTGCTTTTTTCTTGTGCATATACAACTCGAAGCTCTCCAGAACTTCCACAAAGCTCTGATGTGTACGATAATTGGAACCTGAAAAAACCTATCTATTTTTTCTCCACCTTTGACAGTATATATAGAAACTGACAGCTTTTTTGGCTGTATTTTTAATCTGCAATAGATAATAGCGCGGTTTGTGCAGTAGCTGAATTACAAACCTTTAAAATGCAGGCAGCGAAAGATGGAGATGAAGTAATGGAGGACTGAGGGAGTTGATGATTAAAGCACCGATGAAACTGTAACTGGATGCGCTCCTAGTGCTTCGTATTACAATTTGGAATAGCATTGCTGCTTGAGATTTTCCTTCTGCAGAAATCTGCTTTGAAGCAAATGACAGTCCGGCTGGAGGATAAAAAATTTTGCATTTTTTTTTTAAATTTATTTTACCGATTTAGTGAGAACACCAATGTTGAGATCAACAAGCTTGATTTGGATTTAGTCGGCTATACAAGCGCTTTGTAACTGCAACTATTAGGAACCTCTACGTTCTACTGGATTAAACTGTACATGATTGTGGTATTCTGCCTTCGCTTTTTCCCCTCTTCTGCAGATAAATCGAAAATGAAGCTTGGAAAAACACTAAAGCACTAATCTTTCATCAGCCTTGGCAATATAGCAATCCTACTACGCAAGTGCATTTAAATATGAGGGTGCATGTATATATGGGCCGTTTTATGCCAAATCGCACACTCTTGAAAGTCAACCTCTCAGATTTTTTTCATTTTTAGCTGAATAGTAGATTCCAGGCTAGCATAAAGAAATTCAAACAAGACTGGAAAACTGGATTCCTCGCGAAGTTACACCTCCCAAAAATGCAAAATTTTCCAGCTTGCCGCCTGATTGGATGGAACGGTTCCTAATGGAATTTAACGATTTTTGATCTAGCGTATTCCCAATGTTCTGAGTTTTTAGAAGAATGTTGAATAATTTAATTTTAGTAAAACACAAAGATACAATACAAACAAAATTTTGAACAAACTTTGAAAAAAAACGTGTCTTTAAAACTTTAAAAAAGATATATTTTGTGTAGAATTTTTTTCTCTACAAGAAATCAAAATTTGGAGATGACAATTTTTTGATGTTGAGAGTTACGAGCCAGAAAGTAATGTGAAACTGAAAAAAAACCCACTATTTTTACAGTAATCCTATGTATTTTACAGTGGCGAAATCATCCAGAGCCGCTTTTGAAAGCCGCAGCTGGCAGCTACAAATATCCCACATGTTCTTAACGCCAAAAATTCGCTATCATAGTTGTACTTTACTTTGATAATATTAACAAACTGTTGTTCTACAGAGTTATAAGGGGTAATTTTTACTCAAGCTCTTTCTAGTTTTTATATTTCGTAATTCCTCAACTCTTAAAATTGTCTCTGTCTTCTACTCGTTAAAGTTTCTGTCAGGTCGAGTTGTTCTTTTCTGAAACCATCTGTTGCGGTTCTGCAGAAACGTAGAAAGTTTTGAGAAGAACCTTGATCTAACAGTTACTCAGGTAAAGCAGTGAGTTCTTAAACTTTTTTGCGATGCCAAAATGTACACCAACTACATAGTTTTTACAAAATAAAACACGAAAACTAGAAAGAGCTGGAATAAAGACTGCCTCTTATAACTCTGCAGAACAACAATTTGTTAATATTATTAAAGTAAAGTACAACTGTGATAGCGAATTTTCAACGTTAAAAGCATATGGGATATTTGTAGCTGCCAGCTGCGGCTTTCAAAAGCGGCTCTGGATGATTTCGCCACTGTAAAATACATAGGATTACTGTAAAAATAGTGGGTTTTTTTCAGTTTCACATTCCTTTCTGGCTCGTAACTCTCAACATCAAAAAATTGCCATCTCCAAATTTTGATTTCTTGTAGAGAAAAAAATTCTA